CTGCCAATGGGAAGCCTCACTGATCGGGGGAGTCTAGAGTGAGGTTCTGCAGGGATCAGTTCAAGGCCTGACACTATTCAACCGTTTCACTAACGCTCTGGCAGAAACTCACTGCTGATGGCACAAAGATCGGCAGAGCGATAAGGATGAAAACGGGGCAGCCACACAGACCAATCTGGATCACTTGGTAAGCTGGGCCCATTCAAACAAAATGTGCTTTAGTGCAGCCAAATGCCAAGTGATACAGCTAAGAACAAGGAATCCCGGCTCTGCGTCCCGGGAAGCAGCGACTCTGAAAAGGATTGAGGGGTTACAGTCACCAGCAACTCAACAGGAGCTCCCAGTGCAACACTGGCACAAGGGGCTAATGAGCTCCCTGGAGGTATAAATAGGGGATTAGCAATGGAGCCGGGAGGTGCCTTTATCCCTGTCTTCGGCACTGGTGAGACTGATACTGGAACTTGGGTCCAGTTCTGGGGTCCACATTTGAAAATTAGAGAGGATGAAGAAAAGATCTGTGAGTTGAGTGCTACAGAAAATGTCTCCTAGTGAGAGACCTCCATCTGTTTAATCAAAAAGGAGATTGAGAGGTGACTTGATTATGGTGTAGGGTTTGTCTACAGCACAGGAACACTCAGGAAACTAACGTTTAAAGTGGATTAGTTAAATCCCTGTGTGGACACTCTGAATCAGAATTAAAGTGAACTAAACAAAACTGAAAAAAAGCCACTCTAATTCTGAATAAGAACATCCACACAGGAGTTCAAGGCAGTTTAACTAATCCACTTTAAATTCATACCTTTGGCTAATTCAGATTAATTTTCCTGCATGTCCCCATGTACACAAACCCTTATTTACCTAAGTACCTTAGCCCTAAGTACCTTCCTGGGAAGAAAATAACAGGTTCTAAGGGCTCTTTACTCTAGCAGAGAAAGGCAGAACAAGAACCGATGGCTGGAAGCTGAAAACACATGAATTCAAATTAGAAATTAGGCACCAATTTGGAAGAATTTTTTTAACGTGATTAACACCTGGCACACACTGCCAGAGACAGTGCTGGACTCCTCGTCTCTTTGACGTCTTCAAGCCTGGCTGCCTTTCTGGAAGCTGCTTTAGCCAAACACAAGTTCTGGGGCTCAGTGCAGGGGACTGTGGTGGGATTCAAGGGCGTGTGCCACAGAGCAGGTCAGACTAGGGATCTGATTGTCCCTTCTGCCCTTGGAATCCAGGAATCTAGGAAACTCTAGGACAGTCAGGGAACCGTCACGGGGAGGGGCAGACAGTGAGCCCAGAGCTTACCCAGACCTGGCACCCCAGTGGGGCCTGCTGGGGGAGACTGGAACTGTAAAACCAGGAGTTTCCCCCACAGCCAGCGCTCCTGCCCCCCTGCTCCCCACAGCGTCCCCTCTGCTGGGAGAGACCAGGCTGGAGTAGCCGGGAGCTCCCCCCACAGCCAGCGCTCCTGCCCCCCTGCTCCCCACAGCGTCCCCTCTGCTGGGAGAGGCTGGGACTGGAGTAGCCGGGAGCTCCCCTAGGGTTGGAACTTTCTAATCCAGGGGTGGCCACCCTGTGGCTCCGGAGCCACACGCGGCTCTTCCCAAGTTAATATGCGTCTCCTCGTACAGGCACCGACTCCGGGGCTGGAGCTACAGGTGCCAACTTTCCAATATGCTGGGGGGTGCTCACTGCTCAGCCCCCGGCTCTGCCACAGGCCCTGCCCCCCACTCCAACCCTTCCCGCCCCCAGGGCCAGCTCCAGGGCTTTGGCCTCCCCAAGCAGCCAAAAAAAAGCCGCGATCGCAATTGCGATCTGTGGCAGCAATTCGGCAGGAGTGAGGGACCGTCCGCCGAATTGCTGCTGAATAGCTGGCCCTGCCGCCCCTCTCCGGAGTGGCCGCCCCAAGCACCTGCTTGACAGGCTGGTGCCTGGAGCTGGCCCTGCCTGCCCCGTCCCCTGAGCCTGCCATGCCCTCGCTCCTGTCCCCCCCGCCCCCAGCCTCCTGCATGCTACGAAACAGCTGATGGGATGTGAGGGGAGGGAGGGGGAGGCGCTGATCTGCAGGGCTGCTGGTGGGTGAGAGGATCTGGGAGCGAGGGGGTGGGGACAGAGCTGATGGAGGGCTGCTGACTTATTACTGTGGCTCTTTGGCAATGTACATTGGTAAATTCTGGCTCCTTCTCAGGCTGAGGTTGGCCACCCCTCTTCTAATCGCACAAAACTGAACACCCTAGCCCCGCCCCTCCCTGAGGCCCTGCCCCCCCCCACTACATTCCCCCTCCCTTGGTGGCTCGCTCTCCTGCACCCTCACTCACTTTCACTGGGCTGGGGCAGGGAGTTAGGGTGCAGGAGGGGGTGAGGGCTCTAACTGGGGGTGCAGGCTCCAGGGTGGGGCCAGAAATTAGGGGTTCAGGGTGCAGGAGGGGGCTCTGGGCTGGGGCAGGGAGTTGGGGTGCAGGAGGGGGTGAGGGGCTCTCGTTTGGGATGCGGGCTCTGGGGTGGGGCCAGGAATGAGAGATTTGGGGTGTAGGAGGGGGCTCTGGGTTTGGGATGGCTCAGGGATGGGGCAGGGGGTTGGGGTTCAGGGCTGGGACTCAGGGCTTATCTCCGGTGGCTCCTGGAGGTCAGCAGGCTCCCTGCCTGTCCTGGCACTGTGTTGCACCCCAGAAGTGGCCAGCAGGTCCAGCTCCTAGGTGGGGGGCAGGAGGTTCCATGCGCTGCTCTCGCCCGCACACACCGCTCAGCCCCTGCACTGACCTGTGTGTCCGTTGTTCATTAGGCTGAGACGCTCACTGGGGTCCAGGTTGTAACCCGCCAGCACAACAGGCTGCAGCTCATGGCTGAAGATTGTGGAATTGGTGTCAATATTGATGGGAGACTGCATCTGCCCACCGCAGTCTGGGAACTCCAGCGGCCACTCGTCCTTATCTGTGCGGGGAAGAGAGAGACAAGTGGGGGAGCTGCGGGGTGAGGGAGCCTGCCGGGGAAGGGGAGCGTGCAGGAGGACTTCGGGCCCACCAGCAGAGGCTGCAGCACTCACGGGATGGTGATGTCAGAGGTCTGAGCGAACCAGGGGCCTGTGGGGAGCTCAGCTGCAAACACTGGTCCCTCCTGACAAGCAGGGTCGATGCAAGGAAGTTTCGGGCCCTAGGC